AAACAAAACTAACCTAACACTATTTGAAACTGTCAATACATTAGTTATGTTTGAAAGAATAGTTGCTTAGTAAGATCTTGTGCATAAGGCAATGTTCCTGCTGTATTTTGTAATATGCTGTTCAAAAATCCAATGGTGTAATTTTACACCTGCTCGCAAGCCAAGGGCTATAGTACGACCAAATTTCACAATTTTTTATCATTGCATTGGTAAAGAAAATTCAAATGACCAAATACGATACTTTGCCAAACTCTCTTATCTTGCTTCGTTCTTGAGATATTTGACAATGTTTCATATGCAAATTATCCTCACTATATGCTGTCAAGATCTTCGGATATCTTGCATCGAAATCATAAGACCGCACATAATGTGTTATATCAACATATACTGCAAGTATATGTTATATGGCGACACATTTGAGTCAATTATCTATGCGAGACATGCGAATTATAAAAGTTTTCTCAGAAAGCCATTTTGCAATTTGACCTCACAATGAGGATAATTTGCATATCAAGAAAGAAACAGGCTAAGATAGTTTGGCAAATTATCTTAATAGTCATTTTCAATTTTCTTTACAATGCAATCATAAAAATAGACAGTGTAAAATGTTTGTTGCAAAAGCACATTAACCAAGCGAGTTTTATAGTTAACTACTATTTGACTACAAAATAGTATAGTTGAAAAGAGGTTGAGGAGGCAGGGTCTAGATTAAGTCATCATAACTGTGGAGATCTTACTAAATTTCGTGAATCTTTCAAACTATAGTAATGGCAAAGCTGTAATTAAGAATATTTGCAGACCCTATTTAATGCATGGTGGTTAATTTTAACTTATTGCTGTTAAACTATCTGTTTTTCTATTTGCTAGACATTAATTGCTGCATAACTATACGCAAACACAATATTAACTATTTCCCAAGCACATAATATTTAGTATATGAAGAAGGATTCATTTGTATTGTAGGATATTTTGTATTGCAATAAACACCAACTATAGCCTGTTAGGAATTGATGTGTGGGCTGCGCTATAACATTGATATTTTAATTTGATCTCTCTGCATTCTTCAGACATTCGGCAAGTTTTGAATAACAAATGCAAGTTTTATTTGCCAATCGCACGTTTGTATTGTCTGCTTCCGAGGGAAATATGTTGTTTTCCCGAGAGTCTCGATGTTCTCGAGACGAAGTCGAGTAATTTGTATACTAATAATACACAGTACGCGGTTGGTCAGAGATCTATTGTTGTAATACACTGAGCTATAATAATATCTATCGTGGTGTCCAGAAAACCAAAAACCTGTCATAGAAAATTGTTGTACGTAATAAAATTGAATACTGGACCAACATTCGGACCTCGTTTGAATGGGCCTTAACATTTACAATGACGCCAGGGGCCGGTTGTATAAAACTCTTAATCACTTTTTTAATCACTATTTTGTAGTTAAATAGTGATTAACTCTCAAATAGGCGCTTCTTATTGGATGACATTTCCACTTAACTATGATTAATTTTAATCACTTTTTTATACAACCGGCCCCAGAAAGCTAGAGTTACACGGCTAAAAACGCACAGGTTGTTCCAAGTTGATATCGACAGGCGTGAACAATGTTGTGCGGCCAACTATGAACAAGTTGTCAACCATGTTGTTCCAAGTTGTTACAGTTGAACAATGCTGTAACAACATGTTGACAATACTGTGATAGTGGGCCGCACAACCTTGCTCACGCCTGTTGATATCAACCTGGAACAAGTTGTTGATTTTCTCCAGCGGCGAAGCCAGCCCGACAATTTGGTCATGCTATGCAAATATTTCTGTGTTTATGGACCGTGAAAACAATCAATTTCTAAGGAAATGAATAATGATAATGATTTAAAATTTGCATAGCATGACCAAATTGTCGGGCTGGCTTCGCCACTGATTTTCTCAATTTTTACGCGTGTAGTTATCAGTGCCGACCCTGGTGCCGACGGTGGCAAACCATTTTTGGGGGATCACTTTCTATGGGACATTAGGGACATGTAGGGATCCGTGTGGTTAGGGTTAGGGTAGTGAGCGCAATATACATATGGAGTAAGAACTCCAAAAAGTCGGAAGCCAGCTTCGTGTTAATCGTGTAGACAAAAACAATAGAAAGGGACTGGAACTGACGTCCTGTAGCTTGACTAGTATTTATCACTTATTTACTGAGACCGAGGGAAACAGTGTGTTTTGTGGACCCGAGACCGCCGTTGTTGCCCGAGGCGAAGTCGAGGGCAACAACGGCGGTCGAGGGGCCACAAAACACACTGCTTTCCCGAGGTTTCAGTAAATAAGTGTTTTGTTATATAGTATATAAGTGTCAAAGTATGAATAATTCACCGGTTATTGGAGTGAACTTAATTTGAAACCAAAACTGGATAAATGGAACGCCGTAAATGTTTAGTAAAAAGTTTTAAAAATGAACTTTGGAACTTCATGGTTGACACGCATGCGTATTGCACCCATTTTATTGATTGACCGGTCAATAAATAGAGAGGTTAAGATACCCCGATTCCGGTTTACGGGTACGGGTGATATACACGTACCCGTAAATCGGGGAATAACTTGTAACTTAAGAAATCAAAGATACTCCGGCGTGAGAAAACCGATCAGAGAATGGCAACTTTCACTGTTGAGGTTCGCCATAAATTGTTGAAAACTTTGACCAGCATATGTGCATTATTTATTGGAGTAAGATGTTGAAAATTTGTACTATTTAAACGGCCCAAAAATAGTAAACAGAAACCACCCGTACCCGTTTGTCGTTTACGTGTAGACCCCGGTTTACCTCCAGGAAACGGGTAGAAATTACGGGTAAAATTGCTGACATCAGCAAAAATTGGTAAACAAAATGGCGATACTCGTACCCGTAAACCGGAACCGGGGTATCTTAACCTCTCTAATGTTTGATTCCGGACCGGTTGCCGCGAACATGACGTTTTGTGGACCGGCACGTGATACGGTTTTGACCAATCGGCAAACAGAAAAATTGAACTTTGACACTAACTATATAACAATAACGGCTTATTGACCTCGCTTGTTCGGTCTGTACTGTGAAATATCAGACCGAGGTTTTTTAGTATGGACCGGGTCCGAGCGACGAAAGAGCGAGGTCCATGCAAAAAACAGAGGTCTGATATTTTCACAGTACAGACCGAACAAGCGAGGCTGAACTGAGTCTGTGAGCATATGCTTTTCGCGCGAATTAAATCGGCTATCATCAGTTTCACTGGGTAACAATATACGGTAGGCATGCATGCTCAATCAAAAACAATTTGGTTGTTTGAAATTTTTATCTGTAAATTTTAATGACACACAATTGGAAAATTAAAAAGCAAAAATTTTTCTGTTTGCAAAGCAAAAATTTCCCGCCAGATAAACGACATCCGGGACACCGGTACAGAAACGGAAAATATGGACCACGGTCCGGATATGGGTTTTTACAGACCGCTTGTCAACCAATCAGAATAGAGAATTTTGAAAAGCCATATAATTATATTACTTTATGAACCGAAAACTTGATTAGCGATACGGTCCGTTAGAGAAAAATTTAGCTGGGGAAAATGGTATAAAAACTGTTTACGACCGCCATCTTGGCTTCACTTTTCTCATAGGCCGAATGACTGAAGTTCTTGCTCCAGATATATATATATATATATATATATATATATATATATATATATATATATATATATATA